CCACGAACTGAGTTCGGCTAATATTATATAGATAATTTAAATAATAAAATTCACATCATGTACTGGTTTTATAATATTAATTCTTTAAGAAGTTCTAATTTTTTTAGATTGCAGGATTTCTCAAACAATGATATCATTTTTGTCAAACTTTAAATTTTTGCAACTTTGTTGATAATCCTTATTGATCGAATTCACAGTAATGTGTTTGTTACTTGAAATGTGCTTCGCAAACTCGTTTTTTCAGCACTTGTTAACAAAAAATATTTTTTTAACCTTATTAGTAACATTAATTAGTAGAAAATAATTTATTGTATCTGTGTATATACATATTGCCACGAGTTTGGGAATCATCGATTTAAAACATCCACGAGTCTACGTAAGAAAAAACGAAAACACTAGTATAAGATAGAGAATTAAGGTAGAGTTTAAGGTTGCGTTTGCATAGGTGCTGCGAGCGACGCAACATAGTCAAATACTAAGAAAAATCACTATAAATAATGGTCATGTTGTACTGACTGAAAGATCAAGGCAATTTTGTGGCGTGAAACACCAATTGAAAGTACATTTATAATTGAAGATTTTCGCACATATTCCAGGAACATCTGTACATATACAGTACTTTGTTTTCAATATGCAAGATAATCATGTTTGAACCAATGTGCAATGAAGTGTTCTCATCGTCAATACAATTATTGTATAAGAATTTGTAACAATGTATAACTGAATTGAATTGCACCTGTTTCAATAAAACACAATTTAAAGGGTAACTAATAAAGTATACAAGAAACTTCTTGACATTAAGAAGAGTAAGAATTATCATTGATAACTTAAAAACAATCATGAAAGAACAATCTCCTATTCAATGAAATAAAATCGAAGAATTGCAAATGATAATACTTATTAATGACAAAAATTAACTTTAATAAATCTGCCAATAAGTCATTTTAACTTGATTCATGTATTGTTAATATTTCATATATAATTGTATATTGTACAACTATTAATATTGATATGTAGACAAAAATTTTAATTTATACTTTGTTCAGAAGAGAAAATCGAATTTTGTACCTCTAATTGGTGTTTCGATCCGTACATTTGCTCCATCTTCAACGCGGTCAAACGCATGAATTTATATGACACACCGATCATTTAACACTCGCCATCCTATTCGACACTTTTATTACGAAAACGTTTATGTAAATACATGCACTTGATCGACGTTGAATTACATTGTAATTTAAAGAACACGTAACACATATATACGCTTTAGATACGTCCTGTACTAGTGTTGTTCTGCATCGATCGTTTCAACGGCGTGTTTTATGCTTTTCCAAGGTTGATTCAATCGAAACCTTCGATTGTTTAACAATATGAAGTGGAAAAAATGACCTTGAAAGTGCAACTAGATAAGTTCCATGAATATTTAGGTATGTGCAACAAACGTTTAATATCGTTAGGGTCTCCATGTAATGGAGGTCGATTGTCGACGTATCTCCCGATATAATCGAGACTTAATTCTTTGAAGCGGAAATTGGACTAACAACTAATAACACTTCACTTTCTTTTATTGCAGTTTCTTTTGAATTTTGTTCATGTATATGTGACTATGTTTATTAACTTTGATTCAGACTTATCGGGTTTGTGTAAGTAACAAGAATTCTAACCTCTAACCTCATAATTTTTTTTTAGTTACTATATGATAGTGTCAGCTACGCGTTGTTTTAATATAACCTTAAAAGAATAATTTGAATTTAAGTAAGAGGTTAAATTACCCTAATCGCGACGTTTCAAAGAACTAAGAAGCAGCGTTTAGATGCAAAGCGATGCGAAAAATGTTTCTGGTGGAAGCTATCTTGCACGGTTGTAATCTATTTAAACGAAAAAAGCGTAGACGTTCGGGCGACATAAATCGAAGAGTGCCAAATTAGCCACACGCAAAAGCAGATTGATCTGCTCGTCAATTAAAAAATAAGAAAAAAAAGGAAAAAATCGGCGAGACTAACGCGCAGCACAAAACAATTAATAAACGTAAGTAAACTCCCATCGACGACTGTTCACATCGAGAACGGTATTCTCGTTAATCACGATAATTAAATGAATAATAAAACGTAGACTGGTAACGCGTTTCTATTATCGAAAACTCTTCGATCCACAGGCATCGACGTTAGGAATAATTTTTTACGATACGGTGATCCGTGTACGACGTAAGATGCACAGTGAAATCAATGATCATTTCTCATGAAAGTTAAGAAAAGAAAGAACGTCGAAGAAGCACTCGAAAAGAAAAGAGCTTGACTCGTGAGGATTGGTCGTTTCGCGCAATCGTTACCATCGTGCCCTTTTTAAGAACATTGTGTCCCCTCCCCCCGTGGATCGAGCGCACTTCCGTCAAGAACGTCGTGAACGAATGTTCGTCGCGACAAGCTACTCGTTCGACGTCCCCCATTGGTCCACGGTACCTGAGAAACCAGCGAACGATTGCTTTCTGCGGTTGCTACTGCGCCAAACGGATCGTTAGAGCGACGATAACACCGAACAAACTATTGTAAAAGGAAACTGCTGTGGAAACAGGAACTGTTATTGTTACACGAATAAAATAAAATCCATATTACATCAGCTGGGATTTTTCTTATACCCTATACATTTTGTTTGCCCTTTTTTTGGTAGCTTTCAGTAGATTTTTTTAGAGAATTTTGTTTAGTGTATGTTGATCGTTTATTTTATGATTATGGAAAAGAAAAGGCGCTTAAAATAGATCACGTAAAATGAAACACGTATTTGCAAAAATGCCTTATCAATTATGAAACTACAACGTGATATCAATGTTGAGATAAGAATCAGCCAATAAATCAGTCAATAAATTATTATGATACGCTATGGATAGTTATAATTCTACTTTCTCTACTATTCTGTCCAATCTTAAATTCATCTTATTATACACCGTAACAATAAAGTTCCCGTACTATGTATGTATATGTATACTCTTGAAATACAATTGAAATAATCAATATGTACATCGATTTATCAAACAGCTGAAAAATTATTCAGATTTCTGGGCAAATAAAATTCATTGATTTGTTGGAATTGAAACTGAATCGTGATGTTTTGTACAAAATTTAGCAAACCCCTACATAAAGAACGTACTTTCAACAAGAAATTATAATTTGAACCTCACAAATGACCTCCATTAAAGATCAACACAATTTTTTTCGAACACCTGACAAATGTTCCTACAAATTCGAATCGCACTGTTACTTTTTTTAAATTTCTCTAACAATAAATAATGTATATGAATATTATCAACAAACATCTCACTATAATTTCTAGTACAAGCTAAATAGGAAACGACGATTCCTTAATTCATCCTTAATGTAGAGCATGTATAGTCGTTACATGGAACTAATACAAGTTTGCGTTTATGATAATTCATTTACCAAATTAAAGTTATTAGTCGGTAATGCAGAAATCGACAGAATCTTTTCACTGAGCTATTTAATGAAAAACAACCATATAAAAGCATAGATGGGATACAGAATCATCGTTTGTGATGAAAGCATTGTCTGCATTTGAAATGACAATATGACGAAAGAGGACATCGATTTGAAGCTAAGGGAAGGACAAGATCGAGACAAAGGGATCGATGACGAATCGAAAGAGGCAGGGAGCATTCAGTTCGTTCGCGGAGCGAGATATCGGCTGTGACGAATCATGATTGTCCCCTTCGTCGTTGACGGGAGGCAGAGGGTCGACGAACCAACCAATCCTGCCGGTCCCCTTGCACCTGAATTCTAACGAGATCCACCTGGGTATATATGAGAGCTTAACCTCGGGCCAAGCCACGATTTTTCTGAGGTACCCGCTTGTCGTGAAGGTGAGTCCTCTCCTCTCTTTGCTTTTCTCTCGACATCAACTCTGACCAGCTAGCTCTTCCCCTTTGTGCTTCCTTCCAAACCATTTTTAACTCTTTCTTTCATGCTTCTTTTGATTTTTTTTTCATTGTTTGAGAATCCTCAGTAGATTGGAAAAAGTGTTTAGTTCAAAATTATTTAATGTCAATTTAAACTTACTCTGGAGAATGCAATTAAATAGATTTTTTTAGACGAATTCTATTATCAAAATTTTTTATTCTCTATTTATATCTTATGCTTAAAAATTTATTGTCGTTTAAAACGCTGAAACTAGGGTATCTGGTTTGGTGTTAAATGGTAACTCTTCCGCTTTGAACATATCTTGTGATTCATTCCTCTTCAGCGTCAATAATTTTTTCCTACGCTTTTCTTAAACCGTTTAGTATGCATTTTGGGTATTAATAATGTCTGTTTAAGTAATAAGTTTTCTTATTAATTTTTCACTTGATTATAAATATCAATTAATTGTACCTTAAATGTAGGAAGTAGATTGTTATCAAAATCAATAAAGCATCAACTGTTTGTTGATAAGACGCAATCTATTAATGTCAACTGTGACTCATTTCCGTAAACTACTAGCGTACAATAAAATAAACGATTAATCGTTTGAAATACCTTTCACGAGAAAGTCGTTACATGGAAAGAAAAAATGAATCTTACGATAATTCTTTTCGCTACAAAATTCGAAAAAATAACGCTAAATCGAGACAACTGGGGAAAAAAAACAAATTCTTTTTTCTCGAAAGTAAAAAAACCACAGTCTAGTCACATTCTTGAAATCATATTTTTTCCATTACCCGACCAAAACATTTAATATCTTAAATTTCTTCTTCTAAGAGTTATGTAAACATATTTACCGGTAAATCGAGTATTCAGTTACACACGAAAGTAGAAGAAAAAATGTTTTGGACATTTACCGCTAATTATTCTTTCATCCGATTGCGATGTCGAGCATCGAGGGCCATTCGAGCAAAACAATTTCTCAATATGTATGCGAACTCGCTGGAATTTTTCTGACACATCATGTGGGCGAGAGTCCACTTCCCTTCGTTTCCATTTTTTTTTATTCCTCTTTTTAAATTTCGACTCGAAGGTCAGCCTGAACGAGATCCAAGCGAATTGAAGGATTTTCTGTTGTTCATTTTTATAATGTAGATTTACATAACCTCTTAAGTGCGTTGGAATGCTAGATTGCACCCTCGACGACACTTCATTAATTATTACCACCACTCGACGCTGTAGTTTCCTATCTGGTTGATTTCTTTTTATCGACTATATTTTTACACAGTAGAATCGGTGTTATCATAGCAGCAGGTGAAATTTACACACGAGATAAAGTAGTTCAACTCGATATCGTTTAGAATGTCGATCACGTTAGATTAAACGGAAGGCTATCATCGATCGATTCTCAGTGCTTATGAGCTAATTGAATCAACGAAGCGCATCGAGTAGCAGCGAGAATAAGACACAGTCTCTCGAGTATATATCTCGCTCGCGAATAGTCACGTCGCTGCGTTCTTGTCGAGCAGGAAGAACCTCGAAAACGTACACGACTAACAACGAATACGTATGAAAAGCAAGCCGGTCTTCTGCGGTTCATTTGTTGAATACTGATTCGAGATGTTGTATATGAATAAATTCTGTCTACAAAAAATTATAGTTACAAGCCTAATGTGTCTTTCTATGTTTTCTTCTTATACACGTTAAATATACATTAAAAAAAGACCTTGCTTTAATCTCGTTTTTTAGATTATAAGTTATTATATGGTCAGATTATGTGAAGTACTTACACGTTCACTGCAACAACTTTATGATGTGATAAGATAGGTTAGAGTTGATTATTAGGTTAAACCTATTACCTGACGTTGATTTCAGATAACGTGCAAAATGAATCATTATTTACGAGATTATTAATCTTCGTTAAATTACAAATTTCGAAGTTCTTTCTAACCTCAACAATTCTCTCAACATCAATATTATACAGTAATTCGAATTCTACTATTTTTTAACCAAAAATCGTTCAAAGTGATTGTGTATCAATGTCTCTGTCAATACTGTTAAGAACCCAAAGGCATTCTATATTTAACATACCCGTTCAAACCGAACCATTCAATCCACTATTATCATTCGCGAAAACGCTTAAAACGTTTCTCTCTATACAAAGAAAGCAAAAAGAACCAGAATATTAACAGTACGAGATATTATCTCGCTGGATAGATTTTCCCAGCATAACTCCACTTGGCGTTTGTATTCAGATTGCAGACCGCGGAATAGTAGTCGAAGGCTTCGATGCAGCCGGAATTTTAATTCGCACAACGAAAAAGCCACGGTATCTTCGTTTATTTTCGCGGTCTGGAATCATTAAGGTAGAAACACATTACTATCACGTCACGTGAAATCACGCACTATCGCATTAAAACTCTACTAAACTAAAGCGGTCGCGAAATATCGTGAATATCGTGACGTGAGTATAATTTGTTTCTAACTTTATCCACATTTTTTATTTCACGCAAAACACGTCGAATTTCCAAAGAACGTCTTTGATCCCCCCACCCCCCTTCGTCGTCGGTCTTTCCATTTTCTCGTTCCTCTTTCAGTTCGCGTTCCGTCGTTTCAATATTCGATTGCCATTCCGACCAAACGTGGGAGACAATGAACTGAAAATAATTTATCTCGTTCCGGGGAGGAAGCGTAAACAATTCTCGCGAATTAACGAGAAAGAAACGAATTCTTAAAGTCAGTGAGAGTCAGAGGAACGCGGCGGCTATGACGATTGCTTTTCTTTCGTGGTATTTTTCAGCACCTCTCGCCTCGAGTGTTTTTCACAACTGGTGGTATTCGTGCGAAAATAAAACGACTTCGAACAGTAACTATTCTGGAAAGTTATTCCGTGTCAATAATCGAAGGACTGGACTTTTTCAACAGAAATTTCTTTACAGTAAAAATCTTTTACTTTGAAAGATGGAAATAACATGGAACAAATGAGGCTTTTTTGGAGAAGGTGTGAATCTTGCATTTTACGAAATATCAAAAGTCGACATATGACACTTATTTAAAATACGATTGCTTTAAAAGTAAAAAGTTTGTCTCTTTTACTTTTAAATTTTTGTACATACGTTTGTTACTGGTTGTATTTCAGCCAAAATTAGTCTCTTTCCAAACTAATTTAAAAATTTAACAATACCCTCTGTTTGGAACGAGAGAAACTTGTATTTTATTGGCAGTGGGAAAGGAGGGAGGGTTTGAACCGAAAAGAAGTTGCGTTACAATCCGGAGATCGGATATTTTATCAGGCAATTTGCCCGGCACGAGTCCAGCAAGGGGTGAAGCCTGCTTTTTATAAACGCGTTCTTGCAACTCGATCTTTCGAGTCGACATTTATCGACTGGCCCGTTTCGCGTGTGTGCATCGAATGACGCGCCGTCTCGGTTTTCGGTGCTCGTGTTTGAACTCCAGTTGAAAAGGTAATGAACTTTTAATATTCTATGCCGCTGGTGTCGCTACTCTCGCAAACTCGCTTTTGTTTTGAACCGAGGAGGGCGTCGTTGAACGTGTCATCGAAAGAAATCGCGTTGACACTTCGATAATTTGTTCGAAAAAGAAGAATTTTTCTTTCGCGAATAAAGGGTATTCTTATAATCGTGGTACAACCAGGCAAAGAGTGATTGCTTATACAAAAAGTTAATCGAAATTGGAAATATATTTTTGTGAAATTTCGACGTATCTTTTTTATAAGAAATCATCCTTTTTTGAAATTGATCAAATATATAATGTTCACGCCAATTGAAGCAGTGATTTCGAGATTAAGATCGATATGTCGATCTCGAAGCGACACGGTCGTTAGCCAGGCGTTCGAGCGGGAACGGAAATAACGTGAGATTGCTGATAAAAAAAAAAGTTTCACGGAGATGTCACGGTATTTGCTTTAGTGGAAACCAGTCTGTGTAAATCGCGTTTGAAGAACGACGTTTCGATGAAGCGATCATTCTACGTCCACCACCGGTGCTGCCAATCAAACTATAGGTGGAACGTTTGTCTTCTAAAGGTGCCGTGATAGTCAGCCTAAGCGGACGTTCACGCTGACAAGCGTCGATTGACACTTCGAAATTACTCCTCACGCGAAACTGTTACTTAGATTCTTAATGAAAAGAGAGGTTTCACTTATCGAACTGTAAAAGCTGGATAATTTGTTTCTGACAAAAGTTTCATTCATTTCTTTCTGATTTATTAAAAGCAACAGTATAATATTTTTGTATTATACTGTGCCCGTTTGCGTAAGTGAAATCTGTGACCTTTTGTGAAATATTAATTATTTTTAAGAAAATATTTTTTACCACGATTTATTTTAATTTGCAATTTTGTAAAAGTAATGGAAATTTTGGAGATGAATAAAAAGATGAACTGTTTTACATTAATTTAATAAAATTGCATTAAGGAACAGTTAACCAAGTTTAATCGTTTACAGATCCAAAAATGATATCGAGAAAGAATCTTCTGGCACTTCCTCTGTTGCTTGCGGTTCTTGCTTCTACGACAGGTAAGCGAATATTACCAGTTTCCGATAAGATACGAATATAACTGGAAACACGTTCTTATCGATTGATTAAGGATAATGGAAAAATGGAAAATAAGACGATTAACCTTTCTGAGTGTAAACGAGCAGAAGCCCTCATTCACCTTTTGATCTTTTAAATTTTAAATTAACGTATGTATATAAAAATTTTAAGTAACTAAACTCAGGGTAATGTTCCTTTTCTTTCTAAATATTGAAACGAAGCAAGTCAAATGAGAGTCAAGGGAAAATTGTTCAAACTTCAAAGGGTAAAACAGGATTTCTAATTTTCAGCGGATCAACCTGTCAGGATAGCGTGTTACTTCAGCAACTGGGCAATTTATCGACCGGATGTCGGTAGTTACGGTATAGACGACATTCCGGGTGACCTCTGCACCCATATCATTTACTCGTTCATCGGAGTAAGCAATGTTACCTGGGAGGTGCTCATCCTGGATCCAGAACTGGACGTCGATATGGGCAATTTCGTTGCCTTCAACAATCTCAGATCCAAGTATCCTCATTTAAAAACCTCTCTGGCTGTTGGCGGCTGGGGAGAGGGTGGTAGGAAGTACAGTGCTCTGGTCAGCATGAAGCAGAGACGCGACACTTTCATCAAGAGTGTAGTCGGTGAGATTCTCAATCGTTGGAAGGATTGAAAACTATGTACAGTTTGTACAGTTGGTGGAAGCGATATATGTAGTAATATCGGTTAAGCGTTTAAATATAGCCTGATTAGATAAAAGCGAAGCTTCTTAAAACCAGAAAATGGAATATGGAGGAGAATTTATGATTTCTTTGTGGTTAATCAGCTAATCACAACAGAATAAGGCTATCTCACTTATTGTCTCATGAATAACGGTAGGCGACGATTGAGCCCCGCCATTGCGGACGGCTGGTTAAAAACCATTTACCTACAACCGTCTTTCCCTTAACCTGCTGATTTATTTTTACCAATACAGCAATTATTATTGAGCAGATGGTAATAGAGGCTTAATACTACATAGCTTTAATGAAAGATTGTAAGCACATTTAAAATATTAATGACTTTGCTTAATGCTTTAATTTATAACATTAGTATATCGATTCCATTTTTAAAACATTATATACTCTGCTGCTTTTAGAAGTAGGGTAAATTCTTTTTTGTGGAATTATTCGATTCAAAAAGGTGCATATTACGGTAGATGGAGCACCTTGTCCCAGATCATTTTTCTGAGATTTCAAGGTCATTTACATTTTTTTGCTGCATAAGATTGCAAATTGTCTTTTATGAACTGATATGACCTTGAACGTGAAACATTACATTTTTTTACTTTTTTTTTATTTCACTTAAAAGCAGCGTGAAATCTGTAATACAATTGTAACGTTTCTTTCATATGTTTAGAATCAATGCATAAGTATGGTTTCGATGGATTCGATCTGGATTGGGAGTATCCTGGTGCTGCCGACAGAGGAGGTAGATTTTCAGATAAGGACCAGTTCTTTTACTTCGTCGAAGAATTGAGACGTGCTTTCGATAAGGAAAACAAGGGATGGGAGCTCACGATGGCTGTACCCATGGCCAAATTTCGCCTGGATGAGGGATACCATGTGCCAGAATTGTGCAAGTAATTAAACTCATATTTTCCTTTTACGAAGATGTGGACTGTAAAATGTATATTAAAAGAATTACTTGAGATATTCGTAATGATTACTTTCATGAAATATGGTGAATTTCATGTTATGGTTTTCGTAGAAACATGGACGCCATTCATGTAATGGCTTATGATCTTCGTGGTAACTGGGCCGGATTTGCAGACGTACACAGTCCGCTTTACCGTCGGCCGCACGATCAGTGGGCTTATGAAAAATTGAACGTGGTAAGGACCTCGAAAAATTCATATTTTTCTCATACAATTATATTTTCTATTATACCATATTCTTTTATCTTAAAAATCCTGTTTCTTTTGGTAGAATTTTTTATTGATTAAATTGTCGAAAAATAGTTTATTTAATTAATATAAAATTTCACATAATTATCGATTAAAAAGTGAATCTAACGGAATTACTAAATGTAAATAAATCAATTTATTTACTGAATGTTCGTTCTTGAAGCACGATGGCCTTCTGCTGTGGGAAGAAAAAGGATGTCCAGCGAAGAAACTGGTCGTCGGTATTCCGCTTTATGGGCGTACGTTCACCCTCAGTCAGAGCAACAACAATTATGAGCCTGGTACCTATATCAACAAAGAGGCTGGTGGTGGTAAGCCTGGTGAATATACTCAAGCTAAAGGATTCCTTTCCTACTACGAGGTAAAAGCAATTGACGATAAAAATAACATTAAACAAAAATTAGCATTGTTGTGTATACATCTTTTTTATACGAAATATTCCTTTTACAGATTTGTACCAGGTTGCAAGCTCCAAATGGAAACTGGACCCAGAAATTTGACGATGCCGGCAAGGTACCATACATGTACAAAGGTATATACAAATATGAATTTAACTTTTTGACAGTGCAATGAAAAAGTAAGAAGTTATATTTCATTGTTACATAAATAATTACAGGAACACAATGGGTCGGTTACGAGAACGTGGAGAGCGTAAAATATAAGATCGATTTCATCAAGGAGTCTCGATACGCCGGAGTCATGGTTTGGGCTATCGATATGGACGATTTTCAGGGACTTTGCGGTGACCCTAACCCTCTAATGGAGACCATTAATCAAGGATTAAAGGGATACACTGTACCAGACAAGGATTTCCCTACCACCCCCACGGTAAAATATAATAATTTTGTTAAAACTAAAAAAGACGTCAATTTAAGACACAAATAATATTCTTATAAAAATAATTTCAATTAGTCACTACATGAAATCACTTTTTTAAACGTAGTTTCAGCATGATCGATTGTTATCGTTATGTTTTCAGCCTGACTGGGCAAAACCACCAAGCACTACTTCGTCAGACAATATTCAAACAACACAGTCTATTCAGACTACTAAAACCACTCAAATTACTCAAACCACTCAAACTACTCTGACTCCTCAACCGTCTACGACTCATAAACCTACAGAGAAACCTACTGAGAAACCAGAAACAACTTCCACCACAGAGAATACAGATAAATCCGAACCTACTCAGCCAATAGATACTGGCGAAGCAGAGAAGATCGATTGTGAAAACACCGATGGATTTGTTCCCTCTAAAGACTGTCACTCTGTAAGTAGTCACATAACTCGAATGAAAAACTTATAAATAATGTTTCGACTTTTTCAACATATTATATATTATACAAGCAATTTATATTTACAGTATTATGAATGTGTTCACGGAGTACCGATGAAATTCAAGTGTCCCAACAAATTGATCTGGCAAACGAATAACAAAGTTTGTGATTGGCCACAAAATGCAGACCGGCAAGAGTGCAAGAGCCAATAAAATCCCTGCATTTAGAGCTTGGATGCTCATTAGAGAATGAGGACTGAACAATTTTACCGCGATATCTGAATATGGGCTAAGTGATCGCAATACCTTATAAACAGACGTACAACATGCAGCAACTTGCGACAATTAATCACCTCATTCACTCATGTATCATAATCATGTGTTGTAAGACGCCTGTCTAACAATGGATGCTCAATAAAGATCAACCATTTATAAGAAACTCGTGGAATCCAGTATATATCGGCTTAAATGTCACTGATCTTCTACATTGTATATTTTTTCACTTTAAGGATCGAATGATTTGTATAATTTAATAAATAATTTGTTATGCCGGGGACACGATTCATTTTAATATTAACTGTAACACGTCACGAAAGTTAATTTTAATTAGAACTTCTTACAATAACAAAAATGAATAAAGATTATAAATATTTGCTATATGAAGTATAAATTGAAAAATGTGATAAATCCTTTTACAAAATTTATTCAACTTTATCTTTACGTCTGTATGTATATAAAATAAATTTCATTTATAAAATTTAATATTGAAATAACGTATAAAAATTCAGTAAATGATCGATGCCCCTAACGCGCTTTATATTTAATGACTTTCTTATGTGCTACAATTATGTAAGTGACCACGTGTACAACGAAATGCACTAATATGTTGCCTAAAAATAAAATTAAGGCATATAATTCTCGTGCAATTGATGAAAAGAGGCGTTAAAATCTTTTATCAAAAAAGAATATAATACAGAGGATAGCTAATTATTTAATAAAAAGTGGTAATACACATATTTTTGAAAAAAGTACTAAGTGGGAGGTGTTCCCCTCCTAAACAGATTCTCATTGAGAAGGTCGAAAGTTGCTTCTAAGCAATCTCAATGTACATAAGTGTAGATAGACAACTCGCTTAATTGCTTCATATCAAACATGGCGCAAATGATGATACCTAGGATTGCGCTTATTTCCATTAAAAATAGTAGCCGTGTAATACCTCGAATTTTCCTGCCATCAAAATATCAACGATCATGTTTCCATACAAGCTGGGTTCTCGATGGTATGCAATTTATTTAGAAATACTTCATTTACATACTTATTCGCGATGGAATTGAGGTTAACGTACAGTCATATATTTCGAATAATATTTATTTGAAATAACATTAATTACAGTACAAATTTTAACATTGAACATATTAAATACACATATTTTTCTTATTTTTCATTCATTATATGTTGTAACCATGTGTTGGTGACATTATTTTGGTTGATTATGCAATCAGATATCATATTAGTTTAAAGTTATATGTTTTGTTCATTGTGTAATGTACAATTTTTTACAATTTAAAATTTGTTTGTTTATGTTCAGTCAAAGGGAAGGAAGTCCTAATGCCTTCCTTGTCGCCCACTATGGAAAGTGGTACTATTGTCAAGTGGCTGAAAAAGGAAGGTGAGAAAATTGAACCAGGAGATGCACTTGCTGATATCCAAACTGATAAAGCAATTGTTACTATGGAGGTTGATGATGAGAGTATTCTTGCAAAAATAATTGTAAGATTTAAAATTCTATAAACAATATTTATGAAATACAAGTTCAAAAGTTATTCTGGAATATTTTTTTAGGTAGCAGAAGGAACCAAAGACATCAAAGTAGGAACATTAATAGCTCTTACAGTTGAAACTGATGAAGATTGGAAATCTGTAGAAATTCCAGACACTGTATCAGCTGCACCTGCAGCTCCTTCACCAGCTCCTACACCAGCTGGTGCACCACCTGCAAGTGCACCAGCTGAACCACCTCCTGGCCAGTATGTATTTATTAAAATAGAAAAAAATATATAAAACTGTTAAAAATCCAAAAATTGTTCTTTTCAGGAATAATGTTACCATGCCAGCACTGTCACCAACAATGACTACAGGCACAATAGTAAAGTGGCTTAAAAAGGAAGGAGATGAAATTGAACCAGGAGATGCACTAGCAGAAATCCAAACAGATAAAGCTGTTATGACTTTTGAATTTGAGGATGAAGCTGTATTTGCTAAGATTCTGGTATATAATTTTTATTGATCATTAAGCTATTTTTCCATTAGATTTCACTTAAATGTATCTATTTAAACATTTATTTAATAGGCTCCTGAAGGAACTCAAGTTGAAGTAGGACAATTAATTGCTATTACTGTTGAAAAAGGAATGGATTGGAAGAATGTTGTTATTTCAACAACCACAAAACCATCTGCAGCGCCTGCTGCA